TTACAAGTACGTCTGACGGTACATATCCCGGTTAGAGTCTATGAAATGCTGTTATCTGAACTAGATAGAGATTTAATGGCGTTTCACAGTACAGATTATAGTTTCAGTCTATCACAATCCCCCTTTTTTTTAAAAAAAGGAGACTTAATGAAGTTTTACAATATAGATTCCTATTTATGTCTAACACAATTCACGTCTCTAAAATATCGGAGGTTTCCTGAATTAAATGCTGCCAATAACACGGATTCAATTTCATTGAAGTCTACTGTGGAGGAAATTATCGTTGTATGCCTTATTTAACTTCGTGTACCTAAGAACGCTTGACTTGAACTATTAATTGAATCTAAATTAATCCTCTTCAAAGACCCTGATTAGGTATGTTATAAGGTAGTAGGGTGATCAATTTGGTTCTCTGTTTACTTTTAACATACTCATTTTTTGCCATCCAATAATTGGCAAATTTGATTAAGTCCCAGGAATGAAATAAATAAAATCATAAATCGAATTCTATATAGGAGTAAGAAATAGTTTATATAAATCTTCTGTAAATTATGTCGGTTCATGTGACAGTAATTTTTATGAGAAAAAAAGGTGTTTACATTGCAAATCAATATCAGTTACTTGGGTGTTAACTAAATCTGCGGACATCTTTTGCGACACTTCCAAGCTGTCTCAAGCGAAAGAAATTTCTTACTGTGACGGATTTATGTTAATAGAGCCCCATTCCTCCAATATGCCCTGTCAAACACACAGCGAACGGAGCTCTGTAATCATTAATTGAGAATTCAATGGCGCTAAATGATTGAGAGTGATTACAAGTATTTGTCATGAGCTACTCTTGACTTCCATTATCTCGCGCTAAGCCCAAACAGACACAGGCGAGCGGGTATATCGATTTTCATCTGCTTCAGAATCTTGCTTAAAATAGAGTGGGTCTTTAGAGACTGAAGTCTACACCTTTTATGGACGATTAATATTTGATTGAGGAGACCGACTGTGGACTATCTGATGGTTTCTCGTCAACATATTGCCTACACCAATACTTGTCAGAGCCACTCATTAAATTCCCATTATAACCAATTCCGATTCATCGACTGCCAAAACCTAAATGAATTACGACGACTTCATATAAATGGGTATAAAAAATTACTTAAACATTGACCAAAATGGCAACAAGTTCATAATCAATAGCCCTCGATGCAGTGTGTTTTATCTTTTTTCCTAATGATGGGATTTTAGCACTTTATCACCTAGAATCGATTTGAACCTGGGTTGTTGTGGGATAACCACCCCCGGGGAAATCTTATAATAGTTGTGCAAAAACACTCTAATTAATCTCTGAAATAGAATTTAAACATTTGCATATTGTGTATCGCGTTTTCATGATAACTCGCATAATGTGCTTTAATACGAGATCTATCGACCGAAAGAACTGGGTGCATATCAGAGTTGATTATCTATTGACTGTATTTGTATATGCTTCATACTAAGGTTAATAGTCTAAAGTATATATTTTTATATTTAAGGAAGTTCTGGGTGGCCCTTGGTTCATAATGAAATCTTTCCTTAAGTACAATATAGTACAATATATAGATGTGTAATTTTATTTTAAAACTGTAACAGAGGCGAGTAGCAGTGTTATGATTTTGTTAATTAAATTAACGCTTTAAAATGATCTAATGCAATTATGTGGCTGAAAGTCAATTCTGATCGTACATTTAATAAATAATTTGCCAACTGCCAATTATTGTCTAAGTTTGCGAGTGATTGAACTTTTAATGTGTAAAATATAAGTTACTGTTATTATTGACAAATAAAAAAGACAAATGCCATTTAGCAACATTGTAATTTAACAGAAGAACAAACGGAAAAAAATGACCTCCAATGGTGTACTTCTACAAAGATCGTGTCACATTAGAAATAAATGAACATTTTGCTTTGAAATCCCTTTCTGTAAATTTCCTTATTGGAGGAAACCCTTTCATCATTGCTGTCATAAATATACACGAAGTTCTATTACTATTGTTTAGGTTATATTATTTTATATTGATAGATGCCGTCTGTTGAAGAACAATATGTATAAACTCTGCCCATCTGTTGGCATATATTTCAAGAGTTGCGATAAACACCCCGAGTCTTTATATCAAGGAAAATGCAACATCATTGGCTCATAGTGTAGTCATAGAAAGACGGTCGAATTTCAAACATAGAAAAGATCAATGTAGACCAAATATTTTCAATAATGATAGCGACAAACCTTAAAGTGATATGTGAGTATATTTAACATCAGAATCTAATTATACTACAACAAAGTAAAAGTAAAAAATGATACAGAAAGAATATAAAAATAGATAGGCTTGAACAAGATGATCAAATATCCAATCTATTTTAAACTGTTCTTTGAAAATTTGAATGCCATCACCAAAAAAAAAATCGTATGGCATAATCCAAATACTTCGTGTTTGTACAGAGTACAATTATTTAAAAATCTTTTAAAATGAATTTATCCCAAAATATAGTTCTGTAAGTCCGATTATTCATTTCAAATTAATCTAAATTCTTGTAATTATTTAACAGGTATTATAAGATCTACATGTATACATCAAATAAATCACCAGTCACAATTTATATGTTATATATCATCATACATCGAGAAGTCAGTACAGGACACAGCTGCTGTTGTGTTCAAACATATAGATTTTTAGCTTTAGTAAATACTCTTTTGAGACCATTAATTTCTGGCAAATCTGACTTTAGTTCTTCGATAAAAAGATGGACTCTGACTTGGAAAATTCCTTTTTTCTTTTATAATCTTTGCTGAGTTGATGAAATATTTGTCCAGTAGTTCAATATTAATTTTGTAATTGGCATTTTATTTGATTGGAACATCGCCGTATGACGCACGTACAACTATTGTCCGCCTGAGATCAAATATTTAACTTCATTAAAGCCTTTGCCATTTTTTCTTTTGTTTTCTTGTGGTCCTTTTGAGAAAACATTTAAAACAATTATCAAGATGATTTTTTTAGAGCAGTTACCTTTACTTCTGTTGGCTTCTTCATTTTTTTCCTACTTTAAAGATTTTAGTCCAAGTTTTATTCGCATTCCACGAAGAAGAACATTCTTTTTTCTAATTACTCGTAAATTTATTACCCTACCCTTTGTACATGTATGTCTTTGAAAAAAAAAACAGACGTAATTGTTACAAATTTTATTAGTTACAAGTTTTTGAAGAATTTAGGTGTTCAATTCCCTGAAACGCCATTTTTGAAGCCCTGTTTTCAAAGTGCGCTCCTATAGCTGCTGTGATTTTGCCTTTGGCTACACTTTAAATAACGTTGACTGTGAAAGGTTTATGTACCTTGCTGTAAAGCTATCAGATAAAACACAACAGTTGAAAGTCCTTTGAAGCTATTCTAATGTTGCTCTGTGTCTGTCAGACCCTTTTTTTTTTTTAATTCTAAACTATATCGGGTATCTTTATAATGCCTAAAATCACAGATGACCTCGAAATAGTTTAACAGTATTTGATTTTTTTTTCAGTCTTACTCCCTTTTTTTGAAAAGGGAGGGGGGTATTTATGTTGTTTAGAGGTACTTACAAGGTACAAAGCAATTACAGTACAAGATTTAAACGAGTCTGATTAGTTAGGAAATACATGTACGAGAAAGCTACAAGACCTTTCTTAGGTACATTTTAGTCAACTCGATTTTCGACTGACTCGTTTTCAATTTTTCAGGTACGAGTTATCAAGAAAAATGTCGTTTTTTTTGGTAATACACAAAAGGTTCCATGTCCTCGGTACCGCTCGTACCAGCGGAAATGAGAATTCAGTGTTTAATATATAGATGACAATAATGCTTCAATGAATCGCTACCTCTTTTGTTGTTATTTGATATATATGTTTACTTGTATTTCGCACATATATTTTTTTTATTTTTCCTAAATGCATTTCTTAGGCGTTAAAAATGTTGTTTTATTAAACCCTACTTGGGCAAATCAATACAAATTGAACGGTAATTTATGTTGTAAAGAATACTTTGAAGCCCAATTTGTTGCCAACATCAAGTGGTTAAGTTTCAAACAATCGTCTGCGTGCCTCGTCCTACTTTCGTTTTTATTCTGTGATTAGAAATCCGTAAATGTAATAACCATATTAGAAAGAAGCATGTTCGTTTCCTTCATGGAATGGGAAAATCCTTTTGAAGCCAAAATTAATCTTCCTAAGGTCAAATAAGAAATCGACATGTGTTGTAGTTGCACGCAAATTACAGAAAGTACCGGGGTCAGGAAATTTATTTCTGGTTTTAACCTTCTTTAAATGGCTAGTGTCAATCATGCCATTCAATTTGAGACACGCAATATTTCAAGTAAAAATGGTTATCATGTTATTTAATTAAAAGACGTCTAGATCTAATAAAAAGGCCTCAAAGAGTTTTCGGAGTCTCAATTTATTAAATCTAGAATCGGTCACTGTTTGGTGTTGATCCAAACTATTTCCAAAAAAAAAAAAAAAAATTCCGAGAATTCCGAGGCTTCTCACAAAGATCAATATAAAGGAAATGGATTTATTGGAATCATTTTGAAGCAGTAATTTTGGAATTAGTGCATTATTTTTATTGTTCATATCCAGATTGCAACAATTTTTTTTAAACTTAAGACTCTGCTTGTGTTTTATTGATCTTCGATTGAATTCATACTGTTTAATTATACATTAAGAAAAATTCCTAAGAAGATAGTTCTAACAGACGCTATACTAGTTTCTTTGTTTCTGTACATAAATAAATAAAAAAGAAACTGCTAAATGTCTTATTTTCAGAATCAACGCAAATTTGTTTCTTATTTATTTTTCTGCATTCCTTGGTTTATGTTTTACGATCTGAGATTAACGCTTAATATACAGCCTTTATCTGGTTTCAAATAAAAATGAGGTTACAAAAATTGATCTGTTACCGCATTAATTTTTAACAATATGAAGTAAAAATATTTTCTTTTTTCAGGATACTTACTATTCTCTGGTGTTGAAATCTCTCATTTCACTGTCCACTTTTATTTTGATTGGCCTTATACTCGCTTACCATGCTGTTGAAATCCAGGTATGTATTTAGAACTTTGGTTAAACGTTATATAGTTCGACTTCTTTTCGAAATGATTATTGGACCACAGTTTTTATAACAAGATTTCTTTCAAATGCAAAATATGTTAAAGATTCATGTATGGTTGATCTTTCTTTTGTCGTTTTTATCACCAAAGAATTTGTTAAAAACGTAACAAAATTCAAAGACAAATATAGTTCCAGATATTCCACCGGTTTAAGAGAAACTTATAACCCTAGTGACCAAAGCTTGGTGATTCAGAAGCACAATTTAGTTTTTTAATCACATAATCTGTTAATATGTTGGCAAGGTTCTTTCAAAACTAGTGTACTGAAGAATATGTCTACTGTCCTGTACAAAAAAAAAGATATTTCTTATGCAAAATATAAAAATTTTGCACAAAATCAAAATTTATATAAAGGACACTACTTACAAGTCCAACTTACCCCCCCCCCTCCCCTTTTTCTCCTGACCTTGAAAAAAAAATTGCACCTGCAGACTTCAAAACATTTATTGCTGATTCTCATGCACTATTGATTTTGATTCTGAAAACTTTAAAGTTATATTGCCATTTAAAAAAAAAACAACTCCAAACTAAATAAAATTATATCCTAACCTATCTACCCATTGTTTAAAATGCGAATTTATACATAAGTGTGGGAAGGCAGATAGGCCTTTTAAAATAGAGAGGCAATGTAAAAAAAGATCTTTTTTTCATTTGTGAAGTACTAGATAAAGACGCTATAAAAGTGTTTTGTCTATGATAACTACAAGCTAAGATTTCTAATCGCTTTTCATTAACTATTTTGTTTTCAACGATATAATTTCATTTTGCTTGTAGTGCTTTAGAAACTTTAGCAGTCTCCTTTGTTGTTTAGCTTCCGTATTTAGGACAAATAAATATATAACTTTTATTATAGTGAAGATGTTTGCAACATTTGAATTTGATAAAAACAAACAAGGAAATTATTTGACAGTGAACTTCAAGATAACACTGAATATGATTAATTTATTTATTGATGGCGTAATGTTTTTGTACTTTCTGGAAATGCTCTTCGTTGACGTCATTTTTACTTGGGTAGATTAAAGTAAGTAGATCACGTGACTTTACAAGCTCACATAAAACATGCAAATGATTGAAATGAACTTGCGCTATCCTTGTATTTTTTTGTGTGTGTGTTTCCATTGTAAACACATTTTTTGTGCTATTTTGTGTACTCTTGATGCTTTTCACACATATATATGCAGGACTCTAAAGTGCGATGGGACTCGATGGTCACGCCAAACCCCCTATGGTTTGCGCCAAACTCTGATGGTTGGACACGCCAAAGTCCTACGGTGCGATAAAATTACCGTTTATGACGTCATAGTGCTTTTGCACTAAGTCGTGAAGCCTCGTCATTTCAAGGTCCGAAAGTTTTGAATAAAAACAAACGAATATTAAAACATTTGATCGCCAAAGCGAAATGGTTTACTAGAATAGGAAAAATATAATTGTATCACGAGCCCTTATTTCTCAAGTGGGTACGAGGCTAGACTTAATCCCTGTGATGGGTGCAAGACTAACCCTAAACAGTCGAAAAGCGCGTAACATTCTGGGAGGGAGAGAGGCTAACACCAATCAGTTGAATATTGTGCAAGGACGTACCCTAAGTCTTTTTGGTGGATGGTAGAATAACCCCATTCATTGGAATAGTGTACGAGGTCATACCCGGCTGAAATTATCTCTCGGATGGTTGCGAATATCTCCCACAATTAGTTCAATAGTGTGCAAGAACTAATCCTTATCGGTCTAGTGGGGTGCAAGTACTAAACCTTATATTTCATGTGAGTTCAAATAATAAGCAAAATCAATTAAATTGTACTCGAAGAATAGTCCTTTATTGTTTAATTTTGAATGCCAGACAACAACGTCGAGGATGGGCGTCGGAATATTGTGACGTCATAGACGTTCATTGTTTCTCTGCACCATCGGACTTTGGCGTGTCAGACATCGCATTTTCGCGCAACGCGTCTCATAGGAAACGAGTCATCGTACTCTGACGTGACCATCGGATTTCGTCATCCGTTCCGACGCCAAACCATCGGGGTTTGGCGCAGACCATCATACTTTAGAGTCCTACATATGTGAGTTCCATAAACTCCTTAATGAACTTTTTCTCTATTTTGTTTTTTCTTTTGAATTATAATTATATATACGTTGCTATGTAGTTGCAATTTTTCCCATTTTGACTTTCTTGCTTTTCTTTATATACACAGTTTTATTATCCTACTATCAATTATAAAAGTAAACCGGGAAACTATGTTTACAGACTGTCAATAGGAGGACGTATTTTTTTTTATTTTTAAATTAGTAGGATGCAATAACTCATAAAGGTAATCACGTGATGTTGGTTCTAGATTAGATCACTTCCGCTGTTAAGGTGATAAGCGAGATTTCTTTGGCCAGATATATTGATCAATGAGCATATTATTGGTCCTTATTGAAATCCACAGGGCTGATCCTGGTTTTAACTGGTACTGATAGAACTGTATATAATATCAGTGAATGAATTAATTTACATGATTGAAAGAAAAAAAAATAAACTAGAATGGCCTTAAATTTGACACTCTATATAATAATACACTTAATAGCTTCTCCATTTTGTAATATATAGATTTGAACGAAAATAGCCCTTGAAACAAATATACTGTAAACATCCCCCGAATGGCACCAATTATGAATGTTTCGCCAAACCAAGAATCGTACAATGATGCTAAAATTTGGTCATTAACTTGACACTCGTATTTCTTATTTAGATACCTCGGTCAAAGACTGGATATAGAAATGACACTTAATTTGTCAGGAAACCCAATTGGCTTGTGCCTTATTTAAAAAAGGCAATTTTTTACAACAAGGTTGTATCGATTGGAAATAAAGTGAGCATTTACTGAACAACCCTTTACGGTAATTTCCCTAAAGTCGGTGCCCCACGATCGACATCTTTGTACAATCTTGGTCGTAATATCATCCAGTAATTGCAACAGGAATATAATGGTCTCTGTTATTAACAATGGTCTAATTATTTTCAGAGAAAAATTAATGGACAAGTGTCAATAGCAGGCACCTGCCTTATATTTATTAAATAAATGAACTCTTCAGACTGAAATTTTACATGAATTTTACATGAAAACACATGTCTGTAGAATAATAATTTTGTTGACAGAAGAATAATCTAGTTCACACTTTCTCATACAGTAATTTTTTTTCTTGCATTACAGGTTTTCAATGTTTAAGATATTTGTCCTTTTGTAGAAGGAAACACAAACATGTTTTAGGAATATAAAAACTCAAACATATCTAAATTAAAGCTATAGACGAAGAAATAAGGTTTTCAAACTCTTCATACGACCTAATCTTCCTTCTTTAACAGTTGTTTGCCATCGACAATTGTGTGGAAGATTGGCGGATCGCCATTTCTTGGAGGCGTTGTTTTCAACTGGGCCTTGAAATTCTTGTCTGCGCAGTTCATCCAATCCCCGGGGAATTCTTTTTCATATGGAAGACAGAAATCTACGACGGGGCATCCGTGGTGGAGGAAGACGTCCCCGTGGATATACTTCTTTCTATTCCCATGTTTATGAGATTGTACCTCATAGCCAGAGTTATGTTACTTCATAGTAAACTATTTACAGACGCTTCCTCAAGAAGTATAGGTGCGCTGAATAGGATTAATTTTGATACTCGTTTTGTGTTAAAGACTTTAATGCACATTTGTCCGGGGACTGTGATGCTGGTGTTTACTCTCTCTATGTGGATTATCACGAGCTGGTTACTACGTGCCTGTGAAAGGTAAATATAAAAAAAATTCAACACTTGTCAAAAATAGTGAAGGATACAACTTTCCCCATAGAAGTCAGAGGATGTCAAAGTTGAAATAAAAATACTAAGCTACGTTCTGTTCTTATTGTCCTGTACAATATTTAAATAATTTAGGAATTTTTTTTTTAAAAAGTGAACCCCTGAGAGAGAGGAGGGGGAGAAATGAGTGAAAAGGGAAACGTTTTTTAGAGGTATAAATAATAAGTTTAAGGTCGTCTGAAGCACTTGCTGATGAAAATTTAATCCTTTCCATGTTTGGGGGCTGCAATCTTAAGTGATCCCCTAAACCCTCGCTGATAATGCCGCTTTGTCTGCATCCTTCTGTTTGCATATTTTACACTGTTTCATATGAAATTAAAGACGGAACAGGTATTTCGCATTTTTATGCCCATGGCATCAAGTCAAATAACCATGGGTCATCAAATCCTTGGTCGGAAGCTATTTTGGGTTACATGTAAGTACGAATAACCTTTTCTGTGTTAAAATTATTTTCTCTCAATGACCTTGAATTTGCTCAGGTGACTTTGGGTCAAGGTCATGTGTCAACATGTTCACAAACATGTTTGAACCACCAGTATTTCTCCATTACAAAGTCATGACCCGTACACGATTACAAACAGACGGGCGAGGGGATTCCTGTATGCATTTACATGTATAAACTTTCGACTTTTTTTGCAGGAATATAAATCAAAACTCTGCCTAGAAAAAGAATCATAAATAAAAAATTTTGGGGGTAATTTTATGTTGTTATTTGATTTAAAATTTTCATTTGCTCTTTGTAATCTCTGATAATAAAGATTCAAAATTAACTTTTTATTATCTCTAATAACTGCACATTGATACCGGCGGGGTTTTGACTTTTATGTATTGTTCTTACATTATAGAGGAGAAAAAAAGCAATAACCGTCTTTTGAGAAACATTATAGGAATTAAAACGGTTGTCATAGCAACTAATATCAGATTCAAATCTAGAAGAGACAATAGCGTGCTGAGGAACAGTAAGTGCGTGGGTTTTCTAGATTGCATCTGCCGGTCATGACAACACGTATATTAAAACTTTTTTTGGTCAAACTTTAAAAAAAAAAGTAACTTATCGCAAGCTACACGAAAATGTAACCATTAATAAGCTGTTTTGTCTCTATTATCTTTCCAGCGTATATCGTCACGGATAACAAAGGATTTTGCTATATATTCATGGGTATTTAATTGTTAACGTTATAGACAAAGCTGTAAAGTATTATCTTTTCATACTTTTCTCTGTTCATTGAAATTTATTTAGACATTATGTTGGAATTAAAATATTCAAAATATTATTAGTTTAAGAGTTTTAAATTCGTTTTCCAGCTAAAATTCCATGCTTTACGATAGGATGTTTCAGTCAATGGAGAATTTTTTTATCTTCCCAGAACGATGTTTTTAAGACTCCATTAGTTTTTCGATTTGCAAAAAAAAAATGTCAAATCTTTCCTTTATTCAAATGCCAGGAATAAAAATAAATCAACAAATTTTATTTTTGGTAAAAAGCATCAAATTCCTGACGAACTTAACAGACTTAATCTAATACGGATAATAAATTTAAAATATTATATCGCTGCCTTTACACGAGAAAAGATAAAAAAGGATCATCAGTACTCTTTCGTGCGTAATTTTATTTATGGTTTACAAAAGGGAAAGATTCCATAAATTGCTCTCTCAGACTTGCCAGACTTATTAAATAACATTCATTAGCCTGAAACAATTTCCAGCTACAAAGACTATTTATTAATCGGCCATTTCCTTTTCTGTAAATCAAGTTGGTATAGAAATAGTCCCGGATGTTTTTATGAAACTTAAGAAAATGCTTATTTTCTGGGACTTGGACATTGACCGAACATAGAGAAGGAAAACATCCTTAGAATGCATTTAAAAATACAATGTAATTAAAAAGAAAAATACCACAACTAAATATGAACTGCATTTCCAAGATAGGAATTTAAAAATATTTTGGAACCAAATAACCTTGTTTAAATTTTTGCCGTTTGAACTTTTAAGATTGTTGACGGAAGAGTGTGAGGGGCTTGGTGCTTAGACTCAAGAGGGACAGTATCATGCAGTTTAAGAAGTATATCACATATATGAAGTTTTTGCGTTATTTTTGAAAGGTCTTCTTTGAAATGTACCGATTTTTCAACATTTTAAGTTAAGCATGTGTCTTGCATTTGATAAGTATCACACGTTTAAACTTGAGATGGAATATGGAGTGTTGAGTTTCTAAAAATTAAGAACTTTGCTGTCATATTCAGTTGTCAGTAAAATGATGTTACTCAAATTAATGCCGTGGACCATGGATCTATTTTTTATTTCTCCAAATATAAAGAAACCACCTTCAATCGTTAAAACCTTTCAAGTATGCCTTGAATTAATAGTATTATAAAAAGTCAGTGATTAAGAAATGTGGCCCTCCTCATGCCTGAAAATAAAGTAACAGTACATTACACTATTTAATGAACAAATAAGTTTATAAATGTACCTTAATAAATTTTTATGGATATCACTGTGTCAAATATTTGCAAGTAATAGAACTCGTTAACGTAAATTAATTTGAATTTGTTTACCTATACCCCCAAAAAAGAAGGGATTAAAGACTCGTTACCTGTCTCACTCTTTCAGAAGTCTCACATCAGAAGACGTCTGTTTCTTCACAAACAACTCTCGTTTTTAAATCAACATTACAATTGTATGTATTTTAAAAACTTAGAAAGCCAGGATATTGACAATTGCAAAGCCAAAGCATTTTATCAATGAGAAAAATTCATTATAAGAAGGGCGAGAGAGTAACTTCTTAATGGGAAGTTCCATGTTAATTAGTTTCCTAAATATGTCCAAAGGACGGTCTCTAATCATAAAATCAGAAAAATGCATGGAAATAAACATAGTGCAGTTTTGTGAAATACATACGTTTAAAATGTTTATAAAAATAACTTTTTTGGTACAAATAAATTGCTACATGCACTTAAAGGCAGTATAGTGCATTTACGATAAGGGCATTTATTTGGAAGACAGCCTAATTAGACCACTTAATGCAGAAACACTCTGGGTAAAGATCAAATAATGTCAGCAAAAAGAAAAAAAAATCTAGATTCATCGAAAATAAAGTAACGAACCAGGAAATCAACCTACACAAAATCTAAATGATATTACTTTTCTTTAATATACATATCTCACATGCAGCATTCGAAGTTTAACCCAGGGGAACTAATTATATCCCTATATACAATAATGCAAGACTGAGTAATGTACGTCTTGTAGCTGTGTATGAAAAGATATTCCAGAATCTGAAGTAGGTCTCATAACTGTAACACGCATCATCATTCACCTTTGAACTTAGGTATAAAATGTGGGAGTCGATTACTTTTTAGAATTGATCTAAGTTATAAAACCCACAATATACGGAGTACTAATGATTTTTGTTTTATTTCAAACCCCCATTTTTTGTAACTGAGGCAAAGGTCGAACATATAAAACCTTTTACATATTTACATGACGTAATCAGCCTTATTCAACAAGAATATGTTTGGCTGCCACTGAAAATATAGGAATATGTGGAAACAAATAAGTGAAAACGTGTACAAGAACTTTATTAATTTTCCTTTCTGTATTTATCTTCAAGTTTATTGAAATTAACCCTATGGTTGTATCAGATACAAAATTATCTACAGAAAGGACTTATTTAGAATTATGTACATATGTAAATGTATAAAGATAGGAAGGAAGACAAGAACGCCTCAAAAATAGTCTCTTTGATCCTAGTCTAGTAGCATGTCCTTCTAGGGGTTTTCTATATATAGTTTATATTTAATTCTCGTTGAAACTAATGAATTCATTTGTGTACTAAGTGCTAAATGTTAATGTTAAATGGTGGGGCGTTGACTTGAATAAACCTTGCCATAAGAATATATATGTATATACGACGCGCACGATTTGAGTGCTGATTGTGATTGCAGTAGATGAATCTGGTATAAATTGAAATTTTCCCATAGGAACAAACAGATATCATCTCGTGGAAAACCTAATCTCTTACGTCCGGAATCTCGACCATTTAACCCATTCAGTCAAAAATGCCTGAGGCATATGTTGACAACCTCAACAGAGCTGAAATACCCATATATATAATTACTGAGTCAAATCGGGATTACTTTTTCGTCTTCAGAAACACAATAATGTCATCTTCAAAGACAACATGCGATATCAATTTCATTGGCACAAACCTTGAAATGGTTGCTAAATTATGATTGTTGTCAAGTGCTATTTTGCTGATTCAGGGGTCCCATCGATCCAATCACTTAAGATTGCAGATTTATATCAATTAGTCAAGTTAAGCTCGCCGAGTCTTCCACTATGTGACAAATCACTGCAGCTAGATCGATAAAGTTAAAAGAGTAGCTTTAAGCTCATTTGAGATGATATTTGATAACCTAGCTCCGATGAGGGGTCGAAATATTATTGAAAAAAAGTTTTTGTATCGCAGTACGAAAGCCCATATGTTAAGTTGTACTTTTTAAATAGAAGGGGGAAAAGCTACAAATATCGGTAACAACCATTAATTCTTTACCCAATGAAGGTTGCTTGGTTTGTTACTTTGTAGCATTTTAACCACTTTCAGTTATTGTTAAAGCGACCTAAATTGCATATACACTGTATCTATTTTGTATTCTTTAAATAATGGCATTTATTTATAATTTTTACAGGTATTTTGATCACAGACACGAGAATATACTGAATGCTATGTGGATGATATCTATCACTTTTCTGTCGGTTGGGTATGGTGATATCGTTCCTAACACTTATTGTGGTAGAACCATCTCCATAGCGGTTGGCTGCATGGTAAGTGGAAAACCATTAATCCTTTCACGATTAAGATAAATAATTCAACCTGTTAAAATCAACATCTATATGACGTCATCGGTTTATGTTTTTTGTTCTCGTAAATTCGGTATAAGGCACGCATAATTATCACAGAAAAGTTTGAATGAATTGTCATGTAAATGGTGTCATTGATGTGTCATGTCGACCAAATACCCCCCACAGCCAATTCCTGGCCTTCTTTAATCTTTAAAAAAGTTTTTTCAAAATCGATGCTGATCACGAACAGTTGTTACATATCATTTTGCTTTATTACCTTATGGTGTGTTGTTAAGAAATAATTCTTTCGTTGCCATGGAAATGGAGAAAAATACTACGAATAGACTTTTTTAAAAAAAAAACGGTGACTATTGTTGACGTTATTTCATCGACACTTTCTGTTTTTGCAGTTATGGCATCCTAAGATAAAATCAATTTTGCTTAAGAAAATCCGTAGCTAAATCCTTTTTATTCATATAATATACATGTAGATGGTCTATCATAAATCAATTGTACGTTCAAAAGAATTGAATTCCATCATAAGATGTCTTGTAGAAAGTACATAATTTATTCTCCGAGTGTACATGTTCTTCACAAAAAAAGAGTTCAAAATCAGAATTGCTTCCTCTCTATTTTCTAGGGTGCTGGTATAACTGCTTTGATCGTTGCTGTTTTGTCCAAAAAGCTAGAGCTAAGTCGAGCAGAGAAACACGTGCATTTCTTTATGATGGATACCCAACTGTCAAAAAGAGTAAGTTACATCCTCTTTCAAATACAGGGGGTGGGGGTGTTAGCATCATTGTCCGGCTGTGTGTCGTTGTGTCTCAATTTGATGATGCAGTATCCCCTTCTAAATCTGAACCCACTCAAACTTAAATGTGTTTGTGTTTTAAGAATGCCAAGGTTGTAGTAAGGACGAAGAAACACTGGTCCCCTTCTTTTGATTTAAGATTCTTGGGGGACAAGATTGATCAAGAAAGTGTATTCGCTTCATTTTTGACAGTCGTATTTTCGATGCTTACGACCTACTTTAAGTCATTATGTGAAAAAAGAACACTTCAAAATCACATTTTTTTATGCCCACAGCTGATGTTCGAATGGAGAGACCTATCTTGTTGTAAATTTTGAATTTACTAGGGGGAGGTAAATGCAAAATTTACAACATAATTAAAATATTTTAAATTTTGAAGGTTGATGACGATTTCTTCCGACAATGATAATCTTCCTTTTCACTTTTACTGTTACATCTTATCAAATGTGACCCACTTTTTTTAGTGTTCTTTTAATATTCCTGATGGTTAAACATTTGTGGTCAGAATGCTGTGCTTTTATGTTTCCTTCAGTTTAAATTTTTTTAATTGAGATATGATCGATACATGTATCATCGTTGAGTACTGTCTTCCCAATAAAACATAGTAAGCATAGTTCCAGTGAATATTTACTTAAAACGAAAAGGTATTCTTATTATATTATTATATTCTTACACAAGTATAAAAGAATAAAACCTTGAACTTATATGTAACTGGATATTAAGAATAACGGATACAGTACATAAAGTAATTTATACAATATATTTGTTATTAGGATTTTTTAGTGCCATTACTTTCGAATATCTAAATATTGCAATCTATTTTAGTTGAAGAATGCGGCAGCTAATGTATTACGGGAGACTTGGTTGATTTACAAATATACAAAACTCGTCAACAAAATAGACGCAGGCAAAGTGAGAGCCCATCAGAGGAAATTCCTACAGGCGATTCACAGGTATGATTAAAAGGAGCCTTATAATGGTTATTCATTATATAGGAGAGAAATTGAAATATACATAAATTGATATTTATTTGATCACCTGTCCATTCATTGTTCAATTCATTTTCAGTTTGTACGGGTACACACTTCAAATAATTAATTCCAGAAAGTCAATTTTTATATAGTTCTTAAAGAGGAAATTATAATTTAAAAAGAATATAAGAAACACATTCAAATGCACCACAGTAATGATAAACAATATGATTTAAAATCTATCAAATTTGACCTTTTACATAGAATAAATATCTCCTAAAATAAAGCTATATTACACAACCAAATAGAACCATGAATGACTGGAGTATCATTGCCTATACATTTATTATCTTTTAGTTCTGAAATGACTTCTTTGTTGTTTTCTAGAATTTCGAGCACTCTACATAAATTCCCAAAGGTGTCTTGTTAATAAATAATCAGTGTTCTCATTTTCTAATGCAGTGCGTTTCCTTTATGGGGGTGTATGACTTGTATGCAAATAAAATGCAATGAAATGAAACGCCAAAATGTCAACAAAGAATAAAAAAAAACTTCATTTCAACTAGTGCTTATATGTACCGAAGCACAGGAACTGTTGTTCATTTTTAATTATTCATGTTGCTGAGTTTTAAAGCTATTCAGCTCTGATGACTTTCGAAAGTCAACCCAATTTTATGATTTACAAATGAAATTATAGCCCAATACAAAAAAAAAAAACCAAAACAGCGTACAGTAGTTAGCATGAAGTGTTATTAGGACATATATTTAAAATATGTATTTATAATAATTCTTTTGTCGTAAGTTAAGCGTGTACTTTATAAATTTGATCCTCAATCATAGATAAGTTTGTTACAAGGTCATATATCAAATATCAAGGTCAGTGTAGCCATTGTGGCAATTGCCTTGCTAATGGTATGATATGTGGCAATCCACTTTGAAAAAATTACGCACTTTGAATTTTTTTTATCAAAATTGGGACAAAATCAACACACATTTAAGTTTCAACAATTCTTTCAAAGTGCGTCAAGAGTGTATATAATCTTTTTTTTTTTTTTTTACCATGGAGACACTTAATGCACTTTGAAAAATTATGTAAAAACAAATTCTTGACTTAGATTTTAGTAATGGACAACATTATTTTGTTACATTTCTTTCGAAAAACTGATGAATTAATCTACCCTCATCGAGAGCGAGGAGAAGACAGGTATAGAGGGTCCTTCAGCCCAACTCTTTATCTTTCCTACCCAAATACGTCTACATAACTGGTATGACATCGATATACTTTCTCTTATCAAATTTGAGTTAACGTAAAATAGATGAAAAAATTGAGATAAACTTTCCTGAAAAAAAAAAAAAACAAACAAAAATAACGCACCCTATTATATTAAACAAGAGAGGCTCAGGGGCCATATCGCTGATCTAAAAAAAAAAAAAAAAAAAAAAAAAAACAATAGCCAACTGACTATATTGGCCAAAGTAGCTTTACAAAAAAAATGTTTAAGATGCATTAATAATATTTACATCTTATACATCTTAATACTAATCAAAAAACTGTAAATTTAAAATTAAAAAAAAAAAAAAAAAAAAAAAAAAGACCATCATATTTTGCGTGAATAAACATTTTTTTCATACTTCTAAATACTAATCAAATAACTATAAGAAGACCATCATATTGTACGGGTAAATTATTTTCAATGGAAAAATGGTAATTGCCCCATTTTCCCTACGAAAAATGCTTTAAGTCACTTATCCATCCCTACATCTACCGAACTTTTTACAAACAGGATATAATTTGGAGAAAAAAAAACGAAATTGTACTATTAAAAAATCATTCCTCCATCATTTTTTAAAGACCCATTTCCCTTTTATATCGTTTACGTTTTGGGAACAAGACAACCCCTAAAAATCTTCTATATCTCAGATCATGAAGTGACGTCATCACCGAAAAGTTATCCAACCAGGCTCAAAAAATTATTTATCATGCCTAAAATTTGCAAGAATTTTGACCAAGCCGTGCACATTTTTATTCAAAGCGTGTCAATATGGTCGATATTAACGCACTTTGAAAAGATTTTTTTTTCAAAGTGCGTTAACTTGGTCCCAAATTTAACGCACTTTGAAAAAAAAAATTCAAAGTGCGTAATTTTTCGAAGTGCTAAAGTCAGCCCCAGGCTGACACCCTACTCAAAACTTGCTTCTGCCTATATGATGTGTGATTATTTTAAACGAAAATCAGAATTATTTAAAAGGCAATATCATTGAAGCCATGAGCTTTAAAATTTTATGTCGAATTTCTTAAACTTTCAAAACTGAGAAGAAAAACCTAAATTTATTATAATCTTTGGTGGACAGATTATTTACTCCTACACTATATTTGGGATGTCAAGGTTATGGATTAACATAGATATTCTAAAATCATACAAGTGATTGACGTAAGGCCAACTTTAAAAATAATGTTTGCTTGCCCTCTCCCGACTCAGGATTAAAAAAAATGGGTCGGTAGGTAGGTGAAATTTTTTTTTCCAGAGAAATTTCAACCTCTACACTTATTTTTCAAAATCTTTTTTCCGGAATGCATAAGAAATAATTGCTTCGTGGAGGTTAAAAAAAAGTTCTGAATCGGGACATTTTTAGCCAGTCGGTCGGGAGAAGGCAACCAAATTTTTTTTAAAGATGGCCTAATATTAAAATCTGTTATGCTTATATATGGTGTCTTATGACCTCGATTTAAAGCCATTTCTTAACGGCGAAGGCAGAACCTTTAATGTTAGTATTTATTCGACTAATTTATTGATACATTGAATGGGTGGTACATGTACATGTACGCCTATCGGGTTGGGTGAGTAAAGATCAATGTCATCAAAAAAACTATCTGTTATAGTCAATCTTATCTGATGATCTATTTCTCAAGCTTTTCTATTTTTTTTTTTAATTTTTGAAGAGGTCAACAATATTCATATACTGACTGGGTTCGACGGCAACATGCGTTTTGTTGGACCCATGAGCCACACGTAACGGTTTGGCGAAACGCTTTCTGTCCAAGTAAACGTTTTGTTATACATTTTACTTTTTACTACGACATATCTTGCACTGGCTTCAATATTTGCGATAAATATGACAAAATTTTGATGTAAATTTCGCGAACCCGCACTGCAGATATAACGGTCGAACAAAACGAGTATGCAAATACATGTAAAATATACTAGCTGATCCCGCCTACATTGACGACCTTATAGTGTGACGTAAAAAACGTCATACCGGTCCAACATCTCACCGAGCCGTTCAACATTGATTTTTAGCTCTACTGGTCAGAGACCAGAAGAGCTTATGCGATAGTAAGGTGTCCGTCGTCTGTCTGTCTGTCTGTCCGTCTGTCTGTAAACAATTTTTCAAAACGCTACTCCTCCTACAGTTTTGGTCCGATTTCAATACAACTTGGCACACAAGTAGACTACACTAAGATACATAATTTAGTGCATCGGTTTTTGATTTCGATGGACGGTGTTGCCATGGTTACTAAAAATAGAAATTTCTGTGAAATTCCTTTAAAACGCTACTCCTCCTACAGTTTTGGTCCGATTTCAATATAACTTGGCACACAAGTATACTACACTAAGATACATAATTTAGTGCATCGGTTTATGATTTCGATGGACGGTGTTGCCATGGTTACTAAAAATAGAAATTTCTGTGAAATTCCTTTAAAACGCTACTCCTCCTACAGTTTTGGTCCGATTTCAATATAACTTGGCACACAAGTAGACTACACTAAGATACATAATTTAGTGCATCGGTTTTTGATTTTGATGGATGGTGTTGCCATGGTTACTAAAAATAGAAATTTCTGTGAAATTCCTTTAAAACGCTACTCCTCCTACAGTTTTGATCCGATTTCAATATAACTTGGCACACAAGTAGACTACACTAAGATACATAATTTAGTGCATCGGTTTTTGATTTTGATGGACGGTGTTGCCATGGTTACTAAAAATAGAAATTTCTGTGAAATTCCTTTAAAACGCTACTCCTCCTACAGTTTTGGTCCGATTTCAATATAACTTGGCACACAAGTAGACTACACTAAGATACATAATTTAGTGCATCGGTTTTTGATTTTGATGGACGGTGTTGCCATGGTTACTAAAAATAGAAATTTCTGTGAAATTCCTTTAAAACGCTACTCCTCCTACAGTTTTGGTCCGATTTCAATATAACTTGGCACACAAGTAGACTACACTAAGATACATAATTTAGTGCATCGGTTTTTGATTTTGATGGACGGTGTTGCCATGGTTACTAAAAATAGAAATTTCTGTGAAATTCCTTTAAAACGCTACTTCTCCTACAGTTTTTGTCCAATTTCAATATAACTTGGCTTACAAGTAGACAACACTAAGATACATAATTTAGTGCATAGGTTTTTGATTTCCATGGACGGTGTTGCCATGGTTACTAAAAATAGAAATTTCTGTGTAATTCCTTTAAAACGCTACTCCTCCTACAGTTTTGGTCCGATTTCAATATAACTTGGTACACAGGTAGACTACACTAAGATACATAATTTAGTGCATCGGGTTTTGATTTCGATGGACGGTGTTGCCATGGTTACTAAAAATAGAAATTTCTGTGAAATTCCTTTAAAACACTACTCCTGCTACAGTTTTAGTCTGCTTTTAATATAATTAGGCATACAAGGAGACTATAATAAGATACATAATTTATTGGATTGGTTTTTGAATTCGATGAACAGTGTTGCCATGGTTACTTAAAGTAGATATTTTTGTGAAATTCCCATTAAACGTTACTCCTCCTACAATTTTGGTCTGATTTCAATCTAATTTGGCACACAGTTAGAATACACTACGATACATAATATGTATTTCTGTTTTTTTTATTTGGGTGAATGGTGTTGTCATGGTTACTAAAAATAGAAATTTCCGTGAAATACTTTCAAAACGCTACTCCTCCTACAGTTTTCATTTGATTTCAATATAACTTGGCACAGAAGTAGACTACATTAAGATACATAATTCTATTTATTGTTGCATGTTGCAATGTTTCAAATCCAAGTGCTACTTTTCTTTTGTTATACAAACAGACCAGTAGAGCTACAGTCTCATCAGAGACTTCTGGTTTGGGACAGCGCAGTAAAACACTACAAAAGTTATACCTATTTAATACAGAATTATAATAGAAACAATTTTTATAGGTATTACTATACGTTTAGATTATGATTAACCTCTATATTATATTTTTATGGTTTCGAGTCCAATGATTACCTCTATGATTACCTCTATTTTTTTTTTTTTCAATCATACTTCCTTGTCCAATTTTCATGTTCCTTATAATTTGTATATAATCCTACATACTTTTTTCAGTATTCGTGACATTAAGTCTCAGCAAGACAAAGTGGATGATGAGAAATTTTCTATTGACGACATGGCGCAGGTAAAATAGGGTGCCATCACTAACCAACCTTAATTTTTTTCTTACAGTTTGCGCAAAGTAAAAATGGGGCAAAGGAAATTGGCCGAAAATCAAAACACACTAGTTGATATTGCTAAGGTATAAAGTTACTCTGTCGTTTTCTTGTAACCTTGCAATGTACGTATAGAAATACTCTTGTTGAATGCCATGGTCATGTGCACGTGTTTGTCTGTTGTCTGTTGTCAAATTACGTTAAATCTATATAAACATTCCCATTTACCTGTTAGCACAGAAACGCATGTCGTTACCAGTAGATTGAAAGAATGTCATTCTCTAGTGGTCTATTGCTTGATCTTTGGTTTTTAGAGGAGTAGAAAACACCAATGCACAGTTTGATTTACAAATTAATTATATTTAAATGAGATTTAATTTTGAATTAATTGCATGTGATTACCTCGTATATGACACATAAAGCATGTTTGTTTGGACTATAACCCACTATTGCTTCGTGGAAAACCTCTTCCTCTTGATGAGCATGTTTGTTTAGACTAGGATCCACTGGTTCTTATAGAAAACCTTTACCTCTCGGTGGTTTTTGATGAATATTGATGGACATTGTGAACTACAAAGTTGTTCGTATCCCAAGGCTCTATTTTATTTTTTTTATTATTCTTCTTTTTTTTTTTTTTTGGTACAACTGCAGAGAAATTAAACCCGGCTTACTGTCAACTGAATTGTGCTTGAGTAGATCCTTTTCTTTATTCCGTCAAAATGAAATATATGCTAACATATCAAAGAAAGGTAAAAATATTTATTACATTTTCAATAATGAAATACTGTGATTTATTTATTGAATAAATGTGATATTCTTTCACAGTGTGAAAGGATACCAAAATGATATTCTGTCACAGTGTGAAAGAATATCAAAGTAAGTAAAATGATTTCTGGCCTGTCATAAAATAGAAATAGTACCTAAACCATCTTAATAAAGACTAAAACTGTGAATTTCCTCCCAAATATATATTGCTAAAATCTATATTTCAATGTTTTTAATATCACAATTGCTAAGCTATGACGTTTCAACCGCTCAACTATGACGTCACAGCCTATAGCACTGATGCACTGTGTTAAGAAAAGACAGAGGCAAAGAGAAATCAAAGAAAATGTAATAAACAGGAAATTCAATGCTTTGTAGTTGGATATGGAATTTATTTTACTTGTGAGACAGGATTTTTTTTATATTTTCACTCGTGCTTCGCACTCGTGAAAATATAAAAGAAAATCCTGTCCCCTCGTGAAAAAAATACATATTCAACCACAAAACATTGAATATCCTCTATATAACGGGCAAAGGAATTTGATGGTGTCTTTCCCTTATACAAACGTTATTGCTAAATGAAGAAAACTGCTTTGCACCTCGAAAAGTCAAGCGATATTTCTTGTTGTTGAATATTGTCTGCTAAAGTGATCTGCATTACAGATATATTTAGAAATTCAACCCTTGAGGCTTATTTTTGGGGGGTCTTTAATTAAGCAGAAGTCGTAAATGAAATCACAGTCACTGCTATGCAACACATTGTTTATCAACTACTTTGAGTAGCGTTTTCGAATCCCAGTTGAGCCCAAGTCACGGTAGTCTTGGAGCTTTTTTTTTTTGGTAAAGATCACATGCAAGAGGTTTGGAAGTGAAGAACATTGCTTTCATTTGATGTCGTCGCAATGTGGGTGGAATACATAAAAATACTTTTAGCTTCAATCTTATAAGAAAACAACGGAATGAATTCTGATCCCCACCCACAGTGTTAATTTTATATCCTTGAGTCACTCGATTGACTTTACGAGCGGTTCAAGTCTGCCCTTCATGCGTTTGTTGCATGTAAACCATTGAATTACTCGGTAAGTATGTCTGAAAGCTTTTGAGGAGTAAGTCCAAAACTTGGTAAGCGAATCTATGAAATAACAACTTGCAAAATTGAAAGAAAATAAAATCATGGATATGAGGTTAGGGCTTAAAATGTATTCAAATTGTCGAGATTATTTTTTTTTCATAATTAAAAAGAAAAGAATTGAAAACACATCAATAAGCTAAATTGTATGTATCGACTGGAATAAACAATATTCATGTACACGAAATACTTTAGACAATAATTGTTGATCCTTAAGCACAATACTAACAGTTTGCTATAGATATTACTTGTGGATTTAAGCAAGAAGGTACCCCCAGCGTTCTTTTAGGCCCATGAGCCTCCTATAAATAAGAAGTTAAATCAGCAATTTTCAGAACATATTTAATTTTCATAAATTATGGCACTATGTTATACGTACAGTTAAAATATTTTCTTTAACTTTTTGACTTTGATAAAAAGTATACGTACACGTATATTTCTTTTTTTTTTTCTTTAAGATTTTATATTTGATAAACATTTAAGTTTTTTATAAACTCGGTCGTATACACTTGTGTATGTTACATGAACAGGGAGTTTAATGATCATTGGAAAATAACACCTCTTGCTTACGTTCGCGGAACCGTAATTAAATGTTACTGTCAAACCTCAACACCTGCTTTTCCCAAGCATCCTATTATTCCTTAACGTTACTTTGTAATTGAATTACTAGAAGTAGTTACTTGGTGGACGTGTTAGTATTGCCTGCTGCAATGGTACTTTGATTTTGTCTCGGGCTGCTGATTGATTATGAAACACCCTTTTCCCCTTCCTATATTTTATTGTTGTCATTCTATTGCACTTGTCCCTCCGCAACATCCTACTTTTTGTATTCATTTTAGCTTTGGTTAAGTCATAAAAAAGACGTATAAGGAAAGGGAAAATCAAGTTCCCTGCTTGAAACATGAATTCCGAAAATTTCACTTTTGTTCGCCACAAGCAGCAGGCTAAAATGGATACAAAAAGATTACATGTAACTGACGCCAGCAATTGTCATGTTTAAGAATCTTAACAAATCATTTTGATCAGATCTGCTCTATGACATTTTATTGCTGCTCACTTTTTGTAGATTTTCCTAGTCTGAGTCAAGCAGGTTCGATTATCCCTTTCCTTTCTTTGTAGAGTTTAGGTCGTACAGGCCTGGAACCGCCTCACAGTGTGTATATTTCAATACCCCACGTGCAATTCAAACAGGTTTGACCGCATAAAACTGTGCACACCGTATTTACATGTGTAGCAGCCAAATTGCATCATGCTCTGTAGTTGTAGTTAGATTTGTCCCTTATATCACGCATGTATGCGGGGCACAATGTCTGTCGATAATTGTTCGATGTGGCGTTTCAGATACATGTAGTTTAAATGATGGTATAATGGAATCTCTTCAAAATGGTTTCAGCTGGAACAATTGCTTGCGCTACTTAAAGAGTTGCACGTATTGTCAATATTAGGTGGCATCACTTTGCCTGTCTTGTCTATTCTTTCAGTAATTTCTGTTTTGTATAGTTGTATAACTGCAATAATATAGATGTACGATTTGTACACGTACTGTAGTATTCTACACGTTCGTATACATATTTAACAGAAACTTTTTTCAGCATGGCTTCTTTGCTCTACTGTGCTGCTCGCACAGTAATAAAAGCTTCAGCTTTAGGGGGTGAATATTGTGATAATGAGGAGCGCATGTTGTACGAATGCTTTTATGATATGTCAACCTGCTTATCCTGGAAGGAAATATCAACTTAAAAGAAAGTCCAGATTACCATTTAAATTTGTAGTCGGCATGCAACACATAAAATGTAGTTGTTTGTAATCAAAATATGATATAGCAATCTGACGTACTTGTATTTACACGAAACTAACCTTTCATAATTAAAATTTCATGTAAGATTTTGATATATAGGTATTTAATTCCACGAAATTGGCAGATTATTATAAAGAGAAGATATTTTTGGCATAGCCAGACATCAACAGCGTTTATTTTACTCACTTGTCATAACATAATATAGTGCAATTATTCTCTCCAATATGATTCTTATTATCCTCGACCTTGTCATCCATGCATCTTTGTGTTGACTTTCGTTGCGTTATTGTTATCATAATCAAAAAGAATAAACACCATTGTACTCGTTATAACTACCATCAAGGTGGTAGAACGTTATAATAGAGAAACATTTGTGAACTTGTTAAGCTCAAATTTTAGACTAAAGATGTAATTTTGAAAATTCAATAAATAATTTGCTTTGCCAACTTCGAGGTATATCGTTGGTCTGTTATGTTGCGTTAATTATTAAAATTTGTAAATTTCGATTTAAAAAAAAAAATCAAGATATTAAAAATTATAAACCACGTTTCTTTTTATTGCTATCAAAGAAATGGTGAGGGAAGTTTTAAGTACAAAATATAATCTCGATTTTCTATGGGTCCCTGTTCCAAGATACATGAGAATTAGAACAAAAAACAATTAAATTGGTTTACAGTAAAACACACTTATAGCGAAGTGCCAGGAAAGATCCGTTTTGGTGTCAACATAATTCGTTATATCTGTTAAGTTTATAATACGTTTTAAAGCTACGGGGAATTTACTAGTAATCACATATAACTGTAAGTGTACGTTCATTATTGTACGCGTGTTTCACTGTATATCAGAATACTGAGAAGAGTTTGACGTGCTTCTGTATATTTTCTGCCCTTTACCTATTTAAAGAGGTCTAGGGCACAAATGGTAATCAAAGATAAGCATATCATAAATTCTTGAACTATATACATGTATGTGTTTGGGTTTTTTTGTTTTTTTTGTTTTTGTTTTTTGGTGGAAGCCCGAAACCTGCAACTTTTTGTAACTGACATATATGTAGCTAGTAAGGAACGTTTGTCTTGTATTGATTATGAAACTTTATTTATACAGACTGTTCAGGTGAGGCGTTATGTGGATTTCAGGTGTCGGTCGCTTTATTTTGTCCTAATGTATTGTCTAATTCAAAATCAGATCGCCAACTCAACCCCAACAGAACAAGATCAACCCCACATTAAAAGATATACTCAAATGTAGATGTGCGGTAATCACAGGGACTTCGTAAAACTTGATCTACTAAAGATATACTCAAATGTAGATGTGCGGTAATCACAGGGACTTCGTAAAACTTGATCTACTTGTCAATGGCTTTTACCTTTGAAAAGTTACTCTGCACAATGAGTATATTTCTTTTATAAAAAAGAATGTAATAAATTATACTTTCATTTACTTCAAAAACATTTTCTAATTTCTTTTAAAGCATATCCTTCAATACTCCTTCATCTTTCTTTTTATCTTCATAAACAAATGGCTCTGTTGTAAAATTAAAGAAATGTATTTGTTACCAAGGAAACAGAGTGGTTTCTTATACATGTTCATTGGCTATAAATGGATACAGCTATAAATGCAATTTACCTCTAAAAGGCATCAAATTGTATTGCAGTTCTGCGTGTTTGAGAGTTTTTCGAATGGTTATACTTACAGATTCTTCTATGAATTTTGACAGAAATGTTGTTTAGTTGTTGTTTTTATATTTTGTTGGTGTTTTTTTCTTGAAGGATTTGGTAACTGAATCAAGCTTACAGAGTGAATTATTAACTATGCTGAATATTTCAGCAAGACTAACACTACTAATTTATATATATTTTTAAAAAATCATTTTCTATTGGGAATCAATAGACTTAATTTCAATTGATAAACAAATTTAACTTTTCATATTTCTAATATTTTCCAAAATTCATAAATCATCAGACAAAAAGTTTGGAATATATGTTGTTTTCAAACTGTTTTATAGGTGAAAATTTAAAATTGAATTCTATTTTCTTTTTTTTTTTGGAGTAATCCATTTGGGGAGTTTTCCAAGATTAATAAAGAAGATGAAAAGAAACGCTTCAAACTGAAAATGTTATCTTACAGTGAACAAATGGCGATAACAAAGACTGCATCTCATATAATGCACTTCATACAACAATTGAGGGATCTTGTTTTTCAGACACAGGGACAAATTCATGACACCGTTTCAGACGTATTTACAAAGACATCTACTTTAGAGGATCGAGTGAACAAAATAGAAAACACCCTTGTATCTTTACAAGTAAGTAAACATTAACTAGCTTTGAAGATTTCTAAAAGATCTCGCGTCGAACTGATGAAACACATTCCTAAGAATCCTGCTTCCAGAACACATTGATAAATAGGGAGATTAAATATGATGAGTTTGTCTTCATATTTGAAGAATACAAAGTCACAAGAGTCACTCAGGTAACCGATTGCTACATGAATCTGTTCTCGTCCGTTGTTCGTAAAGAAATTTTCAGCTTCTTTTCTGGAACAGCTGAACCAATCTCAACCAATTTAATGGAAAAGGAAATCAAAAATTTTGAATTCAGTGTTTCTGGTCCCCATTGACATCAAGAAAGTTTAGAATATAGAAAAAAAACTATATTAAGCACATGGCCGTAGGAACCGGGGGGGGGGGGCGTGCCCCCAATAATTTTGCCGATATATAGATTACTATAGAAAACATAGCTAGTATATGCTTGTGCCCCCTCAATAACAGCGTCTGATGACCTTTTTTTTTTTTAAAATCTTGTCAAGGAATTTTTGGTAGTTGATAGTTCCCCCTCAACTGAAAATGTTATGGCTGTGCCCCCCTCCCCCCAACTGAAATTGCTTCCTACGGGCCTATTCACCATCCCACCCCTCCCCCGGTACAGTCCCAAGGGTTGGATTGAATTCGTCATAAACTGAAAATACATTAAACCTTTCTCTTCAATAGATGACTTCTAGCTGGCAAAATCTTAGTATGATTACAAATGAATGAGTACTTAGCCTCCTTAATATGTGTTCTGGCCAAAAGAGGGACTAAGTTGGTCATTAAAATCTTGTGATGCTTAAATGATTGTCAGGGCCCAGGGGCCTCTAATTATATTTCTATAACAAATTACAGATATGATTAATCATTTCAGTCTTTGTCAATTCCTTAAAACCCTATTCAATGTACTACACGTATATGTGACGTATTTTTGAAGTTCGTTATCATCCATAAATTTATTCAATAACATCTGCTGCTTAAATTAGAAAGGTTACCATTATTTTTCTTTCAGGAACATCTTGAAAGACTTCCAGTACTAATAGCGGATAAAGTATCTTCACGCAGAAACGAACCCCATTATACACTACCTCCTGTTCGTGATTTGGACAGGGATCGCGCTTCACGAGAAGTAGAACGTGAAAAGCACTTGGAGCCACGTGATAGACTGTTCGAGCCACGTGATCTTGTTGAACAACGAGAGCGGGAAAAGAGGACCGGAGATTTCACTTCGGACGTTCCCGATAGTGCGGAATCTACAAGGTCGGAATTTAATCAACTTCGAAAAACTTCGCCACCTCGTCGCCGAAAACAATCTGCACCATCAACAAACACTATTACACAATACCCACCGTCTCAAGGAAGCATGAGTCAAATCTAATATTGACCTGGATTTTCCCTAAGAACCCCAATAAAACGGTTTTTACGGAATCAAATTTGGTGCCAGTAAAGTCATTCCAATACTTTTGTTTGAATACTAGGATCTATTCACATTCATTGATTTTTCTATAACATATATCAACGATTTATGCTATACGTACACTGTAATCGCTAATGAACATTGTGTCATTTGTGATTTTTTTTTTTTTTTTTTTTTTTGTTATTGGCGTATAACATTTTAGTGATGAATGTTTCAGCAGGAACACGACTCCTGTGATTTGGTTGCTAAGTGACAAATGTTTCATAAGACTATAACCGTTACTTCTTTCTGTCTTACTTGATTGGCAAAATCTGTGATAAACACGACGTTATATTGTGATGTTGATTCTTGTTTGATGTACGGTAGAAAAGAAATTCGGCGTGGTCCCAGTGATGACCTGACAGAATGATTAATTATTTAATAATTAATACCGTGTCTTCCGTTCGCAGGGCTCACTTCCTGGATCCGCCACGGACACATTCCTCCCGCTTAAATTCCTTTTATATACATAAAAAAGTTTTCAGTCTAGAATTGCTACAGTGCCTCGACTTATCTTTCAAATACCACAAGATTAATGTTTTTGAGCTTACTTTCATAATTTCACATTCATTTTAGTCCAAATTAGATAAAATTAGACATTTTACGTTCTGAAAATTTTCCTATTGTTTTCATTCTTGTTTTATCAAATTGACGCCATTACAATATTTGAATAGAGTACTTGTCTACAAGTGTAGAAAAGTGGCAACTTTTTTGACATTATGTCATCACAGTACTTATGTGACCTACATGTACACGTATTACTATCTGTTTTTGTCCGTCGTTTGTCAGAACATTTTAAACTTATTTTCTATAAAAGCAGTGAGTTTACTTCATTTTAAAGAGATTTGGATATATACTCAGTTAAAAATTTTGTATTTTGAAGTCCCTTTCTCCCCATGGCCTGAAATTGGGACCAAAAATTTTTATAAACTTAACAAATTCTTGTTCATTCGAATAAATCGATAATACAAACTATTCGCCAAATTATAAAGAGCCGAACTTCTCTTTTTTCTTCAGAGCAGGATTTCCCCTCTTTTATAAATGTTTAAATCATATTGACAATATTTTGGTAAACATGTATATGAAAGTCAAATGATTTTTAATGGAAATATGAGTGGTTTCGATTCAAGAATTGTCAAATTTAGTATGAAATCTTAAAATATACAGTTCAAATCATTGAGTTTCAACCCAAAGTTTTAACTCATAGGAAACTTTATATTAAATTAGTCACTCAAAAAATCGTAAGATCCTTTGTTTCAGCGCAGCGGTACCTGTTTGTTCACGAATTTTAGAATGAACATCAGGCCACCTTTGTGATTTGATTATTTGGTCGCCCTCAGAGGCCCAGTATTTAATCTATGGATCGATCCTTTTCACAAAGAGATAGAGTATGTGAGAAAATTATAAGAAAAATTATGTTACTGATAGGTTCCACGTACCATTTTCTTAGCTTTTGAAATGAGAAGTTTTTCAAAAGGAAAAACAAAATCACAAAACAATACAAGAAACACTGCTTTTGCAGACGTTCCCTTGACCCCAGTGGACCCACTTTTAGTTCTATGGCAACGGCAGCTATTTTGGAGCACCAGAATCTTATACATCAACACTTATACATCAATATTATGTACATGTAGTTTGAAATACAGTTGGAGGAAAACATTTAAAATAAAATTCCTTTATGTTTCCATGGATATAGGTAAAAATTTGTACAATCGATTACATTGTACCCATTTTTCAGAGATGTAAAGAATCAGATTTGAATGCTTCGAAATGATTGGTTAGACAGGTACTGGGAAAAATGATATTCAAAATTTTCAATTTTCATACACTGTACTTCGAAAGTTTCAGTGGAACTGGTCGCCAATTTGAAGAAGGAACACTTGTAACAATGTGTCACCCCACCCCATCCCCATAATATATACATAAGTACAGCCATGATATTTTATGGGGGGATTGGCTCTGAGGAAAATCGCAAACAGGGTAATTTCCCCCCGGAAAATTGATTCTGTGAGGGATTTTCGAATAGGAAATCCTAATCTACAGTCATTTTTCCGTGGGGGAAATCCTACTTAACAGTTTTTTACTGAGGGAAATCCTGCTCTAGAGCCAGTTTTCTGGAGGAAAGATTTTTCAGGGGATAGCCTACTCTACAAGACCGGTATGCAGGGCTGTTGCCCTTTTAAATCATATCTGAACGCTCATGGGCTTTTTTGATTCCAAATTAAAGTGATTTTTGATTCCAAATTAAAAAGTTAAGGTCTCTAGAAGGAAAAGTATGAAATTCCTAGATTTATTTAATAATGATTCATTCCTTTGTTGTCAGAAAGAAAATTATGATATTTATGTTTCAGCCATAAATTTGTAGCAGAACAATATCAAAAACATGAATGTGAGTACACGTCTGTTAAATCACTGTTGATACTCAGATGCAATGTCAGTGACATGTATTAACCAAAGAACCATAACTCCTCTCACTCACTTTAAAAAATCATGCAAACCCCTTGCTTTCTTGTAATATTCATAACTTTTCTAATATTCATCGGGACAAAAATTATTCAAGAGTTTTTATACGTTATTAACGCAAGTGCTATTTTCTACACATTTTCAACCTTAATTGTATTTTAAGTCACAATTTAAACTAATCCTTAAATAATATATATTTAAATTCTTATAAACAGGAAAGTTTGAGGTATTCATCTGTTAGAGAAGACTGAACTGAATATATTTTTGTAAACGTGTAAATATATAGTTCGTCTTTCCTGATACATATTACGTCTTTGTTTTGTTATTGTGTCGACATATGTTTGTAATATCATTCCCACATGCTCAACGATCATATGTAATGATGTTATGTTTTTCTCCCGTTATTTAAACTATTTATTTATGTTATAAATGAAAACTCCACTGAAACCTTTTATTTTTTTTCATAATCAAGATTGAATTTTTTCACCTTCATCAAACTTATTGAAGTGAATCTTTTATGCACTTTTTAGTCATTTTCTGTTAACACTTGCGCAATGAAGATATACATAATCGCTTATAGAAATTATAACTTAATATAAAAAAAATGACAAATTATTCCTAACGTAAGTTACGCAGATACGTAAGTCATCATTGAATTTCCTGGGATCATTACACAAATTGATCAGTGTGAAACTTTTGTGAGTAACCCTATTGTCTAACATTTATGTTAATTATTTTAACCCGTAAAACTTAAAACTTGTTTGCGTTGTGTTATTTAATGGGGCGACAATTCCAACCTTTTTACTGCATTCTTTATTCATCCAAAATTAAGGAGTTTTCACTAAAATGTCCTTTATACTAGAAAACAGTCAAAACTGGGCCCTTTTTTTTCCTAGCTGAAATAATTTAAATGCTCTGAATTTATTTTAGTGCCAGTATTAAAGGCATTGATCATATCTCCATACCCGTTTTGATTTAAAAACTGTACTTAGTACATGAATTGAAATCCTCTTTATTTGTTTTGTCTTTAAAAGGAAAATTAATATACATTTACCCCCCATCCCACCCCACCCCTCAAAGTGAATTATGAAGTGTTCATTCATTATTATAACTAAAAGATTGTACTGTAATCCTTAGGGTAAGGACATCGCTAATTATTCTTTTACATAAAATTTTGTAAAATTCTCTTTTTCACTTCTATTGTACATGTATTTATTTGCCTTTCCTGTCTTGAAAGAAACATGGAAATAAAGAAAAAAAATAATAATAAACATTTAAAACATTCCACTATTTCAAAGCATAAGTTTACTCAAATTATTTCGAATTAAAAAAAATGAAATAGGGATTTCAAAAAAATGACATTTTTGAAAAACAGAAAAACCTCGTTTTCACTCAAATAACTCAAGTGGTCTCGACAGACATACATATACTGTGCGCAGTTTCTACCTACAATTGTATTTAAAGTTCAGAATTTTAAGAAAATTGAAAAATTATTAATTTTATTATTATAAAATATAATTGTTTGGGAGAACTGTAAGAATTGTTTGTACTGTGTCTTTTCTAATGTCGTTGCCTTCTTTTTTTTTAACACCAGCAGACCCTGATATTAAAATATTGCACTCATAGTCATTGACAATATATTGTTTGGAAGTGATTCTGCGAAATAAAATAAAACATAACATATGTAGTCTTCAATTTCTTTTGTTCAGGAAAGTTTTGGGCAACTGGAGTCAGTTCCATGGTTGAAAGTGCTACAGTTCTGTGTATAATGAAGTGCAGTCTACTGCACAGAAAAAAATCGAGATTGGTATCTCGGTATATTACTAAGTAACTAGTATTAATTGTAACGGGGACCGTTACAGATGTTCCCCAAACGCTCCCCAACTTCCTTTTGGTGTCTTATTCCCTGTAAGCTTCATTAAATAAGGCAATCAAGTAAATTGGGTTTTTTACGCATTACACGCGCGCGCACGGGCATGTATGTGCAAAATGACCATGTCAACGTGTCTACACTTTTAACAAATCTTTATATTCAAATTTCATCAAAAGATAAAAAAAATCAGCTATATTAAGTATATCTGGCATTTTACGCATTGCACACGCGCGCACATGCATGCATGTCCATGATGACCGTGTCATCTTGTCAACACTATTAATATATCTACATATTTTGAGTATCAAAGCATTTCATCAAAAATTATAAAAGTTACAATTATATCAAGTATATTGGTCATTTTAGCATTGCATGCGCGCGCACGTGCATGCATGTGCATGTTGACAATGTCGTCTTGTCTACATTTATAATATATCTATATATTCTGGGTATCAAAGCATTACATCAAAAAATGTTTCAAAGCAATTCATAAAAAATGTACAAACGTAAGTTAAGTCTATATCAATTGTATTGGTTATTTCAATCATTGCGCGCACATGCATGCATGTGCATGCTGACCATGTCATCTTGTCTACACTATTAATATATCCTTACATTCTGAGTATCAAAGTATTTCATCAAAAGATATGAAAGTTTTGGCTATATCAAGTATATTGGTCATTTTACTCATTGCACGCGCGCGCACGTGCATGCACGTGTGTGCTGATCATGTCATCTTGTGTACACTTCTAATATATATTTATATTCTGACTTTCAAAGCAATTCATTAAAAAATGTACAAGTTAAGTCTATATCAGTTGTATTGGTTATTTCAATCATTGCGCATGCGCACACGTGCATGCATGTGCAGTCTGACCATGTCATCTTGTCTACACTATTAATATATCCTGAAATCCTGAGTATCAAAGCATTTCATCAAAAGATATGAAAGTTATGGCTATATCAATTATATTTGTCATTTTACTCATTGCACGCGCACGCACGTGCACGCACTTGCATACATGTGTGCGCTGATCAAATCTTCTTGTCTACACTTCTAATCTATATTTATATTCTGAGTTTTAAAGCAATTCGTCAAAAAACGTACAAGTTAAGTATATATCAGTTGTATTGGTTATTTCAATCAATGCGCAAGCGCGCACGTGCATGCATGTGCATTCTGACCATGTCATCTTGTCTACACTTTTAATATATCCTTATGTTCTGAGTATCAAAGTATTTCATCAAAAGATATGAAAGTTATGACTATATCAAGTATATTGGTCATTTTACTCATTGCACGCGCACGCACGTGCATGCACGTGCGCGCAAAATGACCTTCGTTCCGCAAATCTACATAACATTCCTATTAACCATAAAAAGGTTTCACCTCAATCGGATGTGTAGTTTCGAAGATCACTCACGGACAAAAAAGTACCCAGGAAGAAAAATAATAATAACTAGAAACTCATTGCGAGCAATGAGAGGTCTTCCGTCCGATTCTGAAAATAAAAACGAAAATTCAAGCTGAAAAAGTGATAAAAGAAATTCAGACACTCTGGAGATTTAACCCTGGTCGTCAGCGTGAAAATCCAACGTGTTAAGCATTCACTTTTTTGCATCACTTCCTATCACGACCGGAAGTAACGGCGATACAAGATTTTCTCACGATTCAAATAAACTGATGACTGACTATCAGTCCTGAAAGTTTTAGGCTTCAGTCGTTTACTGTTGCCGAGCAGTATTGTGAGAACACATTCTAATTCTGGGGAAGATAAACACGCGATCGGAAGTGAATTTTATAAAAAATTCTGACTTTTCTCTAGACATTTGCAGTACCTACAACATACATAAAATTATTTCAAGCACTTTATCGATAAGCAATATTAATGAGAAAGTTAGATATAAAAATATTGCATTTTATCTCCTAAAACCGGAAATTGACGATTTTGTTTCCGATGGAATTTAACATATTTCAAAACAGAAAAGAGATGCAATAAAGTGATGAAAGTTTTAATTTAAAAAAGAAAAGTTGAAATTTTTGATTTCTTTGATCACTTCCTGTAGCAAGCGGAAGTGATGACTGACGCGTTTAACCCAAATGGTTTCGCCTAATCCTCAAAGTCTATTCCTCATAAAAGATTGGTGTTTTAATCTTTTACCTGTTTTTGAGATCTCGCTCAGATTTCTCATTTTGTAGTCAGGAAAACACGCGACCGGAAGTGAATAATTAAAAGATAATTAAGGTTACTTTAGACATTTGCAGTCTGAATATCATATTTAAAATTCATTTCAAATACTTTATCTATAAATAATATTTATTGGAAAGTAAAATACTCAAATTATTTAGTTTTTGTCTTATAACCGGAAGTTGTCGTTTTTGTTTCCGGTGGTACCAACATCTTTCGAATCTGCGAAAAAGATGCAATAAAGTGATGTAATTTTTAATTAAAAAAAAGAAAAGTTGAAATTTTCGAATTTTTTGATCACTTCCTGTAACGACCGGAAGTGACGGCTGACGCTCTGAACCCCAATGTTTTTGCGTACATCTTAAGGTCTGTTGCTCATATAAGTTTGATGTCTTAATCTCTTACCGTTTTCGAGATCTTGCTCAGACAACTTCTTATCTTGAGGACAGAAAAACACGCGACCGGAAGTGAATTTTACAAAGATATTTGACGTTACTCTAGACATTTGCAGTCTGAATAACATATTTAGAAATCATTTCAAATACTTTCTCTACAAAAGACATTAATGGGAAAGAAAAACACTCAAATTTTGTAGTTTTTCTCTTATAACCGGAAGTTGACGTTTTTGTTTCTTGGGACCAACATATTTCGAAACTATAAAAGAGATTTAATAAAATTTAATAAAATTTAATATGGGTCTTTAAAAAGATTTTTTATTTATGAAAAAAAAGAGCACAGAATTCACAAAGAGAAAAAAAAGTCCAACATCATTGATAAAGATGAAAACGTAAATTTAAGCAAAAAATTCAGATTTAGTCGGGATTAAACCAAGATCGGCTGCCCAAAAACAGCTAGGTTCAGTTTATGCATAAAATAGCCCTGTAGATATACCAATTTATTGACAAACACTTTATGCTCCATTTTAAACATGAAGATGAAGTAGAGACTTAGTGCTTTCGTTTCCTATTAAAAGTTTTCTCCTTAAAGCCAAGGTCCTGGAAAACAGGCTTCATGGAATTGCAATGTTCTTGAATTTTAAGGAAAACAAGTATATTTGAGTACTTTCACAGAAGAGAAATAATATGAGCGCACCCTCTGATCTGAAAAATAAAACAGGTTTTGTAATCCTCAGAAATAGTACTATCATTTAATAGTTGCATATTTAAGATCAGAGGTAACGCCCTATATTAAATATCGAAAAATAGCTTTACAAATTGGCTGTTTTGTAGAAAATTTCAGGATATGAGGAAAATGACGCATTTCATGACGTCTTAATGCATATGCAAGCCAGAAAATTACGTCATTTTTGATAGATACGCAGTCATCAAAGGTCTAAATGAAATTTAATGCACTGTCAACTAAAACCAAGCAGTTTCAGTTTTTCTGAGTTCACAGGGCCAAAAAAGGCCCTAAGTGAACCTTGTTCTTTAATATTGAAACCACTACACTAGCGCAATGTACCAGCCATCATCGATGTTTACCTTGCACTCATTCCCTGAAGTAACGAGTGTCAGACAGGTTAATTTTTTTTCTTATAGTGCGGAATTATAGGATGAAAACTAGCCAGCTAAATTTTGTGCAAGTGCTAATAGATTTAAATCGGATTTGTTACTTGAGTTTTAACTATAACTGATAGCAGAGAAAATAATCTGTTACTAATAAAAACTAAAAAAAAACTATTGTGTTTACTTCCTTTTTTCTTTATGCATTCAACTTTCTATTCTATGCAATTCCAAATACAGACATGTCCGTGTAATCTTTTTCTGTACTTCTACACTACTGCATCAGACCATTTGTGAAAGGCGGGTCACGATACATTATTTCGCGCCAAACTTCACGAGTAAATCTTCGCGCCTTTTCTTTGAAATCTGTCTTCAATTGAATAAGTGTACGTGATAGCTTCAATGAAATTAAAAAAAATATATGTTGCTATAGCCTGATTTTCGAGCCTAAGAATGTTTATTTATCACACTGTACATATAACATATCGTATACGGGCAAGTAACATAAAGGCAGCGCTAAGTTTTCTTACACATTTTATATTCCTCTTTACCCCCCTAGTGGATTATTCCAATTAGTAAACCATTAATGAAAAGACTGGACTGTTTTGCAACAAAACACGTCTCGCCATATGACTCTCAAGGAATCTGATACCTATTATGTTTGGTAACTTGCATCTATAAAGGAATATTACCCTACTAAAATCAAAGAAAAGTATTGAAAAACGTAAAAGTTAAAAAAAAAATGACTTTTTTAATTCGCTTCCGGTTGCGACCGGAAGTAATCACGACGCACGAAAAGGCAAACCCGCATATCTAAAAGTCATGTTTTATGCTCTCCAACAATTCTCCAGTTCATATCTTTAACCGTTCTTTAGATCTCGCGAGGATAAAATTTCATTTCAAAATCAGAAAAATGTCCATAACTTGGAACCGGAAGCGAATTTCTCCAAAATTCTTACAAATGTAACAGTGACATTTTATAGCGCATTATCCCTGAAAGTTTGATGAAAAACCACTGAATAGTTCTCGAGATATTGCGTGCACAAGATTTGTCTAAAAAATCTATTTTTAAGATGTCTTCTGATGGATAATTTTAAAAACAAATTATATATTAAACAT